TTGGTCTGTATGTTAAAGGGAAAATCACTTTAAAGTCCTTTATATCAATGATGATATTGCGAGGTCAAAGTGGTCCATGGTAACATGACTGAGGGTAACTTATAAGGTTTAAAAATCTCGAGTCTCTGTATCTTATTAGGCTAATTGAGTCAAGCAATGCATGCAGTGTGCAATCGGGTGCATTTCTGGGGGATTAACAGTTGTAATATATTCCTACTCGTTTTGACTTCCCTCTATAACGATATCTAACTTCCAAAACATCATGGCGTTTCAGACGACTTGTATCTGTACCTAGATTACCATACCTTTTAAAATCTCTGATATCAATAATATAACATCTTTATAAGGCTTGACGATAGTAATAACCTATCGACCTATATCAATTTATAACTAGTTTTATATCAACATACAGTCATAAATATATTTTATTGGTCTACAACTTTCATAATACTTACAATTTAACGACTATTACAGTTATTATTACCTATAGGCGTTAGAAACAGAGGACTTCCTCTCTACCTTTCTCAAACGACCTCAAAGTTCCACTTGCGCTCTGCAACATAGGAGATTCAGCTGTACGGAAACCACCGAGAGTTTGGAAACGAATGATTTTCAGGCAGCGTAAGGCAAAATTTTGGGTATAAAAAACTCTAATTTTTGGGGTTTCGTGACATTACAGATTAGATTTTACTCTGAAAAGTTGCTCTTCGACGCTACACTATTTGGACTCATCTACGCCGATGCACAAGTTTACGAACTAATTTCACCTACGTTTCTGAAGCCGATAGAGAGAATTTTTGATAAGTTATATCTGATAAATCGATCTAGTACATAACCAGAATTTGGTAAAGTATAACCTCGAACAATAAGATAAAACACGATTTCATTGTTCAGCGCACAAATCGTGTGTTATTCAATAGAACCAAAACAGTGATCTTGGCTAGTGAAAGTGTTAAACACAGTTCATTAGAAACACCACGATCATCAATTAATATTCCATCAATCTAGTTTACTATCGGTTGTTATATTATTTAACATGTAATGTCATTAATGGTGTTCTGTAAGTATAAACAAACATGGCTCCATTGTCTTCTTACATTACTATATTATCAGTGGACAATGGGGCACCTTTTAATCTTTGTTAAATACCATTAGCTCGATAGAAACGTATTTACTTGAGAATTACAATCTGCATGTATGTTGATCACGCTGTTTCTGAAGCATCGACTCTTCAACACGTCCTTAATTTCTTCCGTGTTTCATTTTAGCAAGAAGCGAGACCTTATATTTAGGACCGAGATAATAAATATTCATGGTGTCACGTGATAGTCGAACCAACCAATCAATACATTTGTAGTAAGCCATCTAATTTTGTTTTGTAAATATAACACACTCATGATATTTCTGGAATATGAATAATATGTTGGAATGAACTGCCTCATACCAAGCTGTTTGGATGAAGAAAAACCTTAGTCCAATTTACTGATATGTGGTGTGGTTTAAACGAAAGAGAATATTGTTAATTTTGTATCACATTGTCACCTTCAAGTAAATTTTCAGCATAAAATGCGAAATATTAAGAAAACTGTTTATTTGTCCACATAATGAGTTGCTTTGGCTTCTTTAACAGTCGTAGTAAATATAGCTGTCAAGATGGCGACTGTGTAATAGAGACCGAGGTGATATGGTATGATATAACATAGCGAGTGAAGTAATTACTGAATAAAACACTTTCATTAGTTCAATAACAATCGGTATAGCTTAAACAACAACACAATGTGTGCAATGGGGTAAATTATAAATAGCTGATCACAATCATTCACTCTTACAAATGACTTGAAATGAAATGGATGGAGTTTTACGTCCTGCCTTTCTGCACCATATGAATGAAGACAGGACTAACAAATGAGGACTGGTATCTCAGTGTTGAATGAGGCGAATTCTAATATCAAAGCGCAATCAATAACAGAATGGGGACCCAAATCCAACCTATGGCATACTGTGATTACAGAGGTTCAAGACTCATATCGACTACTAACAACCGATGATTGCGATCTGATCTGATTTGATTTTCCAGTAGGAACTGAGAAACTGATGACAACTTCCGATTTTTATTCACGCTGGGGTCGGTTAAATCAGATTCTTCAAGAGTTTTTGAAACTATATTGCCTAGAGATTTTGCCAGTGGTATACCTGACCTTGGTGACCTAAATGCGGGCATTTCATCTGAAATTGTTAACATAGTACATGTAGTTTATATAAAATATAGACTATGAGAATATGTTATATATTGACAAATCTGTCAACTCGTTCATCATAATCTATATTATATTCTACCCTCTCTTGTTTTATTGCTTTTATACCTTTTACACTGGTAGCTTTGACCGCATTTCATTCCTCGGTATTCTGATAAAAATACAACCCAAGAAGATTGGTGTCAGATCGTAAACAGGTGAAATAAATGAAATATAGGCATTCTTCAATATGATTATTATTCAGTTACAGTGCCTTGAATATTTCGAAGTAAATATAGATGTATTTTATGATATAAGCTATGTGCCTTATTGACATATTGATTTGCAGGGTGACTAGCATCGGGTATTCCAAGCTAAGATAGCGACAACTGTCACAGTGTGAAGTTTACAGTATACGAGAGAAAGGTAAAGAAACATCTAGAAATCTAGGTATATCGGGATAACAAGCAATGGTAGCTTTTCAGGCTTTGTTGGTAAAACTAGCCATTTAAAAACTTGCTAAAGGACAGAATGTCAAGTCCGGTACAGTATAAATACATTGGAAACAGAAGAAGCTATTCGTGTCGGCATTGTTGTTGTGACACCTCTGTCTTTTTGCTGAAGATAAACCGACAAATGGTCGAACTCTCCAACCATTCTAGCCCATTGTATTTCATAATCAATTAATTAATAATATTAATGATAATTATACCCAAATCAATCAGATATTTTTTATTTTGTTCAATGTCTTATCCTGCAATCGATAACCAATCAATAAATCAATCGATATGATTGATAATCAATAATGCAGAATTCAACTATTATTCATATTGTCACCAGACCAGAATATTACCGAAATACTCGTATCATAAATAAACCAAGTACTAACGATCCAAACCACAAAACGAAACCCGAAATACAAACATACTGGCACAACATTGGCAACCGTATTTCACATGAGAAAGTATATCAATCATAAGTGAGTAAGTATTTCATGGTGAAATATGGTATCAGGTGTCTAGAAGAGTAAGCATACCCTGCCTGGGTGTGATATGTACTAAAGATACCAAGTACACAATATTTGCAATCTAATGCCGAGTTGCAGAGTGTTCGAAAGGCATGTGAGCATGTTCTCTCTATTAATCGACCAACGCCACAGTACGTATTCCCATGCCCCCCTATTTCGGGATATATATTCCCAAGCAATAATATCCGTGTCACACAATATAAATAAAGATTGGATCATTCCTAATAATATCTATATATAATATATAATAATATGCTATTGTAAAGAGAAGTTATATGTACTAGTTCAACTTTCTATTTTAACTTGTTGGTTATTGATAGAGATTTATAACACAACATATTAAATAGATTAATTTTCCGCACTGTGATAAAGAAATGAAATGAAATGAATGGAGTTTTACGTCCTACTTTTCTGCACCATGTGGGCAAATGAAGACGGGCAACGCCATGCAGGGTGCGATGGGGGAAATTTTTCCAGGACAGCGGTATTAGCCTGCTCTTTTTCGACACGGGGCCTCGGTTTATTGTCTCATCTGAACGACTAGACGCTTTTTCCATATCAGCCCCTCGTACCTGCATCACTGACAGGGGGAAACCGGGTTGAAAAATCCGAAGGTATTATCTCGACCTATGCCGGGATTGAACCCTGGACCTTCAGGTTAGCGAGCAAGCGTCTAACTCACTGAGCCACCGCGGCTCCCTCGCACTGTGATAAAGATAGAAATAACTATTTTTTTGAAAGGATAAGAAGTCGGGTTCCTTAAGGTTCCTTTCCACCAGCTGGACCATGGTTTAATCTCTTGGTATTGGTTTCACAATGATAACAACTTAAGTTTACAATTAACGGTTCTTCCTTGAGTGAGAAAGTACCATAAGAGTGTCTAACTTGAAGAAGGTGTATTATATTTAAATAATGTAGATTGTTGACTTGCGAGTTAAAATTAAAATATAGAGAAACATGATTAAATAACAAACAGGTTTGAGTTAAATTTAAACATTGAATTTCAATAGGGTGTAACATTCTAATAAAAACTGTATATTATTAAAGAGATTGTAAAGAGATTTTCTAAAAAATTTTATGCGTATCAGGTACACTGATGGCTTCATTTTACACCATTCCAATTATCAGATGTCTGTGGTTCCTGCAATTCCACTTAAACTAAGTGATGACGTCACTAATCGCCAAGAGCCCCATGTGATACAAAGATATTTAGCCATTGGTGACTTCATCGAACATTTAGTTTTAGTGGAATTGCAGGAACTACAGACTTGGAATTGAAATGGTGTCCACGATACACATAAAAAAGTTTAGAAAATCACTTTGCAATCTCTTTAAGTATAATGTATTGTACTGTACGTTCTATTGTAATAAAAATATTCACATACGTCTTGAAGCATTTTATATATTACATGTATGTCTATATGGTTAATATTTTATGATTTTTAACTATATAGATTTACTCTAGTTACATAATTTGTACATAATACATTTATATCTTTATATCTTTATATCTTGGTATTCTTTTAATTCTAGTTATATAAATTCTTACTTATATTACATAATTTTAATTACACACTAGGCTATATCATAGGATATTTTGAGGAAGAATATGGTTTGTCAAACAGGATCCTTGGATCAAGAAAATCATTCAATCGTCACATGAACACAAACGTGGAGAAACACGAATAAAACTTGTGAATATTATAGTAGGGGCAACCTTTCTGGTATGAAAAATATACCTGAGACATCAATGACTATAAAACGACGATGATGATGATGATGATGATGATGTACCTGAAAATGATGATCAAGAAATTCCATCAAGGAAAGAGAAAAACTGAAGCTTATTTCAGATTCCAAAGGGAAATGAATGGTTCAGATCGCAGGAACCAACATATAAAGTTTTCAACCAAAAGTTGGCGTTAATATTCTTACTTTTGAAGAACTGAAAACTAACTCTACCAGCTAAACACAACTTTTATCCTGTGCCAGTACCTTCTGTTGAATAGTGACTAGTTGCTTGGTAATAGCAACTGGTTTCATTTCAACCACCCTAATCTCTACCAGCTGTAAAAATAAAGGACAGCCTTGATAGATATTCATGAGGTAAGGTTCTAAATCGACTTGAAACTGAGATAATTTGAGATATGGGAAGTCAATTGGTCAGATATGTTAGACTAAGTAGAGACTGTAAAATACTTTGATAGGGGAGAATGGGTCAAGTCGTACTCGAGTGTTAATCAAATAACGTTTAATAGTCAACTATCTTATTAAATACCCTCTCTTTAATTCACACCTCGTTCTCTTATTTCTCACGTCTAGGTTAGATTGACAATATATGACTCAGTGGATTGAGAGGATAGTGTTTCGATTTCGAATCACCCTCTCTCAAAGAAATTTCTGGTGCAATTCTAAGTGTTTATAGGGCAAGCATTCTTGAAATGATGTTTTTTTGGCACCTAATTGGGCCAATGAAGAGGAGAGGAAACACCATTAGTTCTACCGGAAGGGGGTGGGGGTGGGTATTTTTTGTGGCCCCTGCACGGACCCCTAGTCTGATGTTTTTTAGACATACCACTGAACACCATGCATTGTGTAACGAAAATTTTATCAGGAGAGCAACACTGGCCTGCTCTGTTACGATTTCCAACTGTCCCGCGATCATAGACAATATCACTAGAGTCCTCGGTTTATTGTCAAAGGTAAATATTTGCTATGTGTAAAATATAAGTCTGATTGATCATTATATTTTTCATTTCGTGGATTTAAAGATGGTTTCCTTATTTTTATTTATGAAAATAAAAATGCTAATACTTATATGAATAGAAAGTAAAGGTGTTTTAATAACTTGGATAAATACCACATGTCCATAATCATTTCATAATTAGCGTAATTAGAAGAGAATTACCAGCAGAATTCCAATGAGTGGCCGATCAAGAAAGGTCAAAAAGTCTTTTTTGTTTATCCAGAATGTACATACATGGACATTTATGATTGGTTAATTTCTTTATGACATGCAAAGTAAGAAAAACCATCTTGAAATCTCCAGTATAGTGAAGGGAATAATTTAATTAGACAATTATAGTTCTGTAACTTCCTAGTTTATCTTATCAACGGGTGAAAGTTGTTGTTATAAATCGTGATAATCATTACTTATTATACAGTTTGTAAAAACAGTCATCTCTATTTCAACCTTCTTAGTCAGTCGTGACTCATATGCAACAAGGCAAGACTGGGTGGGTCGAGGGGAGCTTTTAGGGTCGTGTTTTTAGGGGTTCCAACAGCATGGTTCAGCAAATTTTAGATTCTGACTACACCCTCCACTACAAACTACAAAACTGGTGATCAATTCTGGTTGAGACTTGAGAAGATGGTGTGTGAGATGCCAAGAGTTTTTGTGTTTATCTAAAAAGCAAAAGTTCACATGATTCTATCATTTAAGATCTATTTCCTCAGAACATTAACTTACCAATCTGTGACTAGGTTTGGAACTCCGCATTTCTTTCAGAGAGTACATATAGCTAATATTGTTTATCGGGTACGAGTTTGTTTATTACTGTTTCGACGTTAAACTGTAACATCCTGGAGATCGAGACACGAGACCGATCTATTAATAGCTGCATGAATAAAGCCGGCTTATAATTTAAGGGCTGATTTAGGGTAATTCAATAAGGGTGTGGCCCAGCATGTTATATGACTTGTATCTGTTTGTACATGATTAGGCAATATATGTTTATCATAATATATAGTTTATATGTAAGGACTTTTTAAAATGCTTTGAAGTTGATCTGAATACGGTACTGTTAGATATTGAAGTATATAAAGTTACATGACCATGGAATTAAACATCTATATATCGAGATGATCATCGGGTCAGTCAATTTCTAGACCCAGTCTACATTATAGGGGTTTGTTGACATCTAAATAAGGGTGTGGTTCCTAGATGTTTATTTATACCTGATCGACTTTGATCAAAACATGATGATGTAAAACTTTGTTGCGAAAAGATCAAAATAGTATGATAGAATTCTCTACCTTCCTTTATCGTGATTAACTACAAAATTATTCACCCCAATCGTGTTCGATCGTAGTCACGATGGTAGTGTATTTTGGTTGGAGGCTGGGGAGGGGATTTTCAATAAGAAATATCAATATAGAAGTATACTCTAGTATGTATGAGGCCGGTCAACGTGGAATTCATGAATAGCTGAGATAGTACCATTGTTTAAGGTGGGTAGGAAACCGAAATGAAATTAATGGAGTCTTACGTCCTACTTTTTGGAACCATGTGTCCTTATGAAGACGGGCAATGCCACGCAGTGTACAATGAGGGAACAATTTTGCCAGGACAGCAGCATTAGCCTGCTCTTTTTCGATTTCCTACTGTCGAGGGATCTTTAACACAGAACGATTAAACACTTTTTTCATGTCAGCCTCTCTTACCTGCATCACTGACAGGTGGGGAACCGGATTGATAAGGTGGGGAGAAGAAAATGTGTATTTTATATAGAAATACAATCTAAATTATACCAGGAAGGTCAATTTTAAACTTCCTGGATCATTTTTAATATAACTTTACTCATGACATGTCTTATAAATTATATCTTATAAAATAACCTGATTTTACACTTGGCTAAACTCAAGTCCGGGTCCCCTCACACATTCTCTTCTTTAAATACAAAATAATATCAAGGCTCATTCAAACAAGCCAATGATTTCACTATAAGGGAGTTGTGTGGGAGTTTCTGTTTTGATTAAGTTAATGAAGACTGGTAATTATTGCAATGCCATGCAGTATGCTATGTAGAGAACTTTTACACGTACAATGGAATAAAATGGATTGTTTATGTCCTACTGTGTTGTCCTTGGTGAGCTAATAACAGCGCCATGAAGTACGCAATGTAGAGATATTCAACCATGACATTGACAATGAAATGCAGTTTAAGTCATGCTTCTTGCTTCTAATCAATCAAGCTTACGAAGGCAAGCAACACCATGAAGTATGCGATGTGGGAAAGCAGTGGGATTGGTCTAGTTTTTCACCATCTAATGTCAAGATACAAGGTCATATCGTAATGGAGTCAAAGGAGACAAAAAAGATCCCCTTGTCCTATCTTAACTTGGATTGCGATATGACCTTACGGATATCTTGGCTGTCTGAAAAAAAACGTGGAGTGGAGTCGAAGTGGATTCAAAGTGTCAAAGCAGGTCGGTGTGTGTCAAGTACAAGTATACATTGTGTTAAACACAATCAAAAGATGTTTTTGATCACCTTATTGTTATCTGTGCTATAAAAAGATTGTACAATATGACCTAATATAGCCTCGAGCTTTAACTACTATAGGGGTTTTAGGGTTAGTTACGTCATCAAATCTACTGCTATTATTATGATCATATCGATAGTGTATTATGACATCAAAAAGAAAGGCCAGCCATGTTAATAACTAGCTATTATTTCACGAAATTACCTAATATAGGAATGTTCAATATAATTTGTCCTAATTCGTTTCGTTCAATTGAACAGCTCTCAACTCTTGATAATATGAATGGAATTCTCTCTATCCCCACCACCACCATCCCTAATACAACCACTTCCATTCAAAAACTCGGACAAGGAAATATCGATATAAGTTTAATAGCATGTATGTTGTCTGTGCCTTTTACCGTTGTTTGAGCTTGTTTGTGCTAGCTTGCTGGTTTTAGTCACACCGCCAGTCGGTCTAAAAGTTCTGAAGATATATATTACACTTATTTTCCAAATTTTGGAGATGTCAATATTAATGTTATCCGCATGGTTTGTACATGAACCTGTCCAGTCCTATATTCAGATGCAAATGGAAGATGTAAGTGCGTACTTCAAAGAGTAAAAAGTAAAAATTTCCCTAAAAAATTCCCTTTCAGTCTGAATAAACTGTTTCTGTTCAATGAACCTATGAATTGAAAAACACGACATTTTACACGTGATCACGAAAAACTACGAAGTTAAAATTTTTTCAGGTTTTAATTGGTTAGAAGTCGATGATTGTTTAGGAAAGTGCATCTGACATATATTTTCACAATGTCAAGCTATTACGAACTTAGTCTAATACCTTGACTTCAATAGTCGCCTTTCTTTTGTCACAGGGGTTTGTAAATGCAGCTGATTGGATTGTACGTTAGTGAATACAGCCAATCAGATCCCTCGACAGAATGATTGAAAACAATATGGTTGAGTGTGTAATCGGGGGTTATGATTGGCTGTATTCGCCAGCGTACAATCAAATCAAATCACTGTAATTACAAACTTCCGTTAGACAAGAAAGGTAGCTACTGAATTTCATAACACACATTGTGAAGATGAGTCAAGGTATAAGACTAATTTCATAATAACTTCACATTGTGAAGATGTGTCAAGGTATAAGACTAATTTCATAATAATTTGACATAGTGAAGATGATCTAACGTGGTGAAGGTAAAACTATAAAACAGGGTGGACCAATGCGCTGATATTTATTTCTATATAATATCTTTTAGAATATACTGTTTGAATAATATCTTGAGTAATGTCAAAATTCAACACTGAAAAGCAAGTATTATATTATTTTCTAGGTCAAGGAATTTGAGTTTGAAATGTTAAGAAATGGTGTTTCCATGTCTTTCCGACATATTAAAATAAAACAGGCCTATATTGGTAATAACATAATTTTTGATAGATTTACTTCATAAAGAAAATGAAAAACACTGCAAGTAATTTGATATCTTGAATACAGGTTTGAAGAAGATCATTTCTCACGCAGTCATGACTGGGGTCCTACTCAGTCCTTCTCACTAGGGCGTGGACCCGTTTTTGTTTACCCCGCAACAGGGACTCTAAAGAGACATATTTGGGAATCACGGTGGAGGGTCGTTATTTGAAAGGGGGATATATAATAGTGATATCATCAAACATAAACGTGTAAATTTTGTCTCTTCCACATAAACAGTGGTTATTCATCGACCCTTCATTGACGTGTATCAGACAGTATAGGGCGTGGACTAGACGTACCCTTGGTACAGTAATAACTAATAACAGCCTCAGACAACTTTCCTTAAACATAGTCCTTTACAGTCCATACCCTAACCTTGACCATAGTTAGGTGTTGACAGGACATCCCCACCCCCTCCGGTTACATGTGTCTCTGATAGAATAAGCACGCCATGCCACGTCAAAAGTCTTCAGACATTAATATAGAACCTCTATATCGGCAGTCACATACATACAAATATCAATATAATATATCTCAGTCGTTATATATACTCAATATAGTGTTTTAAAATATAAACCTGTAGGAATATTATCAAACCCTTGTCTTAGAAAACAGATTCTTGACTATCAATTTTCATTTTCCTAACAAAGCTACTGGTGTATTAGAAAGAATTAGAATGCCTTGATGGACGGTATATCGGATATCTATAATTGATTTGGATCCCTCAAAGAAAGGTAAAGTACAGGTATATGACAGTAAAAATCAAGTGAAATTTCACGAAAAATGTAGATATGATCAACGAGCAAATAATAGAAACATAAAGGCTGAAAATACATGTACTGATAATACTTGAGATTGGATTGAAATATCCGATAAATATCCAGTAAAAATACAGGTAAGAAAATAGATAAATTACAGGTAAGAAATTATAGGAGAATCAACTCACCTGGTAGAAGACTCAACAATATTATAAAACACCTTAAATCCATAGTGACAATTCTACGCCGAAAACACAACACAGAAGATTAATTAATTCCTTTAAAAACACCTACATATTGGACTCGAATATGATCAGCTATAACGCCATGTTTTATATATAGAGAGAAGATTGTATTGCCCAGGTGAACGTTACGGACTGTAAACTCTACTCGGAATGAATACAACGCGATTGCTACTCGCCGACTACCGTTACGCTCTGGTGAGTCTATTGTATACTCAATACCAGCCAGATTAGTTTACCTCGATATAGAATAGGGTGGGTGTCTTAACTTCATCTATTTAGGACTGTTGGTGGGGTCAGATATTAAGGGGACGGAGGGAGGGGCGAAAAAATAATCGTGGTCTTATATAATAAACTACAGGGTCTGATAATTAGGAGATGGGGGTAGCGGCAAGAATCTCGAAATTGCTGATCGTAGTTTTAGAAATAGCCTACTTTGTTCTATTCTATACTCTTAAGATATCGCAAAGCCTCGGTTTGTTTCCGAAACTCTATTTATACTCTGTAAAAAATTATATGTATGATATAAATAAAATACTGTTTAAATCAAACAGGGTTGTGATTTTAAGATAAACTATTTAGGGCTGTCGATGGGGTCAGGGAATATGTGGGTAGCTCGCTCGAAAAAAACGCTGATTGTGGCATTAAAAAAGAGCCCACTTTGAGCTTAACTGTTCATAAACAGGGTCACGCTCAATGATTTACCTATCAATGGCTGTTTAGGGTGTGGGGTAGGGAGACGAGGCAGTGTGGATTCAGATTCATTTGGCAGCCCGAAGAGGCGTTATTGATGCACTATATACATTTGATATTAAAGACGAAGTTTTACATAACAATTTCAGATTTCAAAGGACAAAATTGCAAAATTTCCACTGGGATTAACGAATTATGGAATTCCTCTTGTTGATGAAGGATTTGTGAAGTTTTTAATCCACAATTAGGCGTGACAAGTTGTTAATAAGGTACAATCAGCTTACACGCTTAAAAACGTCTTTTTTTATTAAATATTTAATCTTCGATATCTCCTTCATTAACACCCATTTATTTCTGGTAATCATTAGTAATTCTTCTTGTAAGCGTCGTGCTCTTCTGTATGTTGTTCGGGGTGATCTTTTTTAATCAAAGAAAACTGTCATTGTACCAAACAATATGTTGGCTAGTTGGACACGATAGTTTGGTATGCTCTAGTCTCATTCTGAACACAGAAAACTACCATTGTACCAAACAATCTGCTAGCTAGTTGAACACGATAGTTCGGTATGCTCTAGTCTCATTCTGAACACAGAAAACTGCCATTGTACCAAACAATCTGCTAGCTAGTTAGATACGATAGTTTGGTATTCTCTTATCTCATTCTGACCACAGAAAACTGTCATTGTACCAAACAATCTGCTAGCTAGTTGAACACGATAGTTCGGTATGCTCTAGTCTCATTCTGAACACAGAAAACTGCCATTGTACCAAACAATCTGCTAGCTACTTAGATACGATAGTTTGGTATTCTCTTATCTCATTCTGACCACAGAAAACTGTCATTGTACCAAACAATCTGTTGGCTAGTTGGACACGATAGTTTGGTATGCTCTAGTCTCATTCTGAACACAGAAAACTGTCATTGTACCAAACAATCTGTTGGCTAGTTGGACACGATAGTTTGGTATGCTCTAGTCTCATTCTGAACACAGAAAACTACCATTGTACCAAACAATCTGTTGGCTAGTTGGACACGATAGTTTGGTATGCTCTAGTCTCATTCTGACCACAGAAAACTGCCATTGTACCAAACAATCTGCTAGCTAGTTAGATACGATAGTTTGGTATGTTCTAGTCTCATTCTGACCACAGAAAACTGTCTATGTTCTTGTTACAATATGTTTTCTGCTTGATAAATGAATACGATTTTTTTAGCCTATCCATATATGGGATTGACAATGTGCTCATGGTTTGCTCAGATCAAATTCCGTATTCACAGTATGGTAGTGTCTAACGGAGGGCTCCAATTGGAATATGAAAGCACCTGCATTTTAACGATTGTTCGCAATAGGACAAGGGAAGATCTGGACTTTATCAATGAAGGGCACTGAGGACTGAAAATTCATTGTAACCAACATCTGCCATCAGTTGCTTTAGTATATTTTGATTTAGTTGTCAATCTGAGATACCACCAGACCCCCCTCACCCCACCTCGACTATCTTAGATCTAATAATCAATGAGAACCGCCTCCCTCTCCCCTCTAACACCCCCTTCTTTCCTCCTCCTGAAGTACCATCACTGTTGTCTGTCGTAACATAAAGAATCTGTACAGAGTAATAACCTCCTATCACCAAGTAAAATATGATTTGTTTAGTAAACAATACACTACATAGTTAATTGAATATCGATTGTTTAACCGTAACAATTAATTATAGAATATTATTATGTTGTCTGCTTGCGACATTTATCTTGTCTCTCGTTTCTTGTCTTGTTATTCAAAATACCCAACAGTGGTGTTTAAAATTCCACTTTTACTTCACTAACCCAATAATTGTTCATAACAGTCAATGGCAGAGCCAGGTTTACGTCTGAAAGGAGGCAAAATATCTGAGATTGCCTGAATTTCTAACCTAGTTATGAGATTTTTGCCTGAAAAACTTGCTTTCAGATAGTCTTCACTTTGACTGAATTAATAATTGATTCTATTTGATTTGTTCTTTTCTGCAATCAAATGAGAAATTCCCCGAAAATCGATAGTTGAGATTTTTTGATGATGATATAAAATCAATCAGGTAGAAATGTAACATAATGTAACATGTTTTGTTGTAGTCAGTTAAAATGGTTTAAAGAGACAAGTAGACTAATTTTATATAATTTATTGTTTAAAGGGATACAATGTGATGCAGGTCGAAGGGGCTGACATGGATTCTTATTGGGTTTTTAATATATGTGTAAATAGACGATGTACGGTGTGGTGTACAATAAGAAATTATCGATGCTGTAGACAATAGTGTCCGTAGTCGACATTGGATCCTAGAACTGTAGGTTACCGCAAAATGGACAACCAAAAAGGATTCAAATGAAGGTGCTAGCTTGTATTTTTCCATTAAGGACACACGTGAAAACAGGTCTTAGTCAGTGGGGCAGCCTCCCCCCCGCCCTTGCATCCCCGAAAGCAAAAATCTCATAACTATGTTAGAAATTCTGGCAATTTTAGATATTTCGCCCCCCCCCCCCCCCCTCGGACGTAAACCTGGCTCCGCCACTGGTCTTAGTGTTATCAATGTTTCTTATATACCTAAACAGACACAGAAGGACTTAAAACTTAAAACTTCATTTCATGTTATATTCTTATCATGCAGACGTCGGTAGATGACCGCCATTGAAGTCAGATAAGATAAGACAATTAACCGATATGGTGAAATAGCTGAAGGCGAGAGGGTTAACTTTAGAAATTGACAGTTAATGGACCAGGATGGGTTAATGGTGTAATAAACATACAATCCATTTTGTATAGAAATGTGGATGAAACAGGGTGTGAAAGGTTCAGGTGATTGCTCCAGAGGTGTGAAGGCTGAAAAAAGGTTGGGGGCCACTGAGCTGGGGGGAGGGGGACATCGGATTGAACATGAGAGGGTATTATGGAGTCTAGCGAGGGGGTGGGGCTATCAATAAAGATAATATAAAATATATTTATTGTAACAGAATATATAACAATATATCACTGGTTGATTAATTATTGCCATCAAAGTTGGAAATCAAAAAATAGCAGGATAATGCTGCAGTCTTGGCAAAATTTCCCTCATTGCACCCTTCATGGTGTTTCCTGTCTTCATTAGCCCACATGGTGCAGAAAAGTAGGACGTAAAACTCCATTCATTTCATTTCATTTGATTAATTATTGATACACTGTTAAAATTACTTGACCAAAATACACCCAAATAGTCCGGCAGCCACAAGCAGCCATTTTTTTTTATCAAATTTATAGGTCATTGTACATGGTTCACTTTTTATGTGTATCATGGAAACTGTTGGTATCAGTTTGCCCTATACCAATTTGCAGACAGACGTCTGTGGTTCCTGAAATTCTATTAAAAGTAAGTGTCACTAGTATCGCCAAACTAATTATATTGTCTAAGAGTCTTTGGTTTAGTGACATTTTTAAACGTTTACAGCGTTAGTGAAAGAACCGCAGACGTTTTTAAGTAGACATTTTTGTATAAACCTGAAATACTTTCGAAAGTATGTTAGCCTAATATCGAAGCCAAACATAGTGAAAACATACAAGAAGGGAGATAACTACGTTCAAAAATTATATCACTGATTAGAAAAATGAAACACTTCCAACTTAATAATTTGATCAATATTTTCTTGTAAAATTTAAAAAAAAAATATTCTTGTGTATAACATATTGAGTTAGTATGAAAAATGGCTAAAAGTTAATTAATTTATAAAGCAATGAGCGAGTGTTTACATCTTTCACATTTCCAACATTGTGTACAATTGATAATAAAAAAAAACATTTATAATTACATTCACTTCTTAAGAGGTAAATAATATGAAATAATGTTTCTTACTTTAACCAAAATTTAAAAAAAAAATTGGTATACGATTATTCAAATATTACTTGTCAATGCCTAGCTTGATGTTTCCCTAAAATTGTCAAAATTCACCAACTTATATACATAATCATAAGGAGTACATTGAACAAAACATCTTAACTTGAGGTTATTTTCAGATCTCAGACTTCTGATTAATATTGTACTCTAACCAGCCAATCAAATGATAGGTAATTATTGAAGAAAATCTTAGATTAAGATGTTTCTAGCTCCCTCAAAGATCAGATCTTTATTTTGTAAATGCTAATACAATACACTCCTTCGTGGCACAACTTAAAAGAAAGGAGGGATGAAGATGTACATAATATGAGTTATTCCAAAAATTGGTCCCATTTTACCCTGTAAAACACTGTAATACTAAATATCGTATAGAATAACATATATACCCAGTCATGGCACACGGCTTGTTTAAATATATACCTTTTGGCTGAATAATACAAAATGAAAAGCATGAACCTTTACAGTCGTCCCTCTAATATACCTTATGCATTAAGGCCTTGTTAAAATATAAATATTCAATATTTCTATATACGAATGTACTTAGCGAGTGCTCCAGAAAGTGAGCATAACGACACCCACCATGGTGCTATTATTGTAGTGTAGTGTAGTTTCACTTCAACTTTTGATCGATATTAAAATATTATTTACAATAAATGCTAAACCGTTATAATATTATGGTTAATACACGCACGTGTCCCCGTCAATGTTGGAAAATTCATTCAAGCACGTGCTTTGTGTCGTGTAATATTAGAACACAATGTAAAATACTGTAAGTTATTTTGTTTTTAACATTCGTAGCCTCTTTTCTAAATACTGAATGCCTATAGTCTTAACAAATTGTTCATTCGATAAACTAAATTTCATTGAAAGTTCCTTGTATCAAATTGCATAGCTTAGTTTCAGACGTAAATCCAAAGGAACGACGCCTTCGCTGGAATATAGTCGAATAACAATTATATACAATAATACCAACATTAATTTCGTTATAAATTCAGAATTTGTTACAACGAATTTTGTGTCTAACGGCATCATCGTCGAGGTTTCAGGGCCAAGCAGCAATTTCTCAACAAAGAGTCTTTTTACATTATCACAACATCAGGGTCTGACGTCAAAGCTGAAAATGACGTTTCGGTTTCCTCGTACGTATGTCGAGCGGCGCCATTAGCGTTTGATTTTTTGCTAGCTCGGTCAACAACAGAATATAGAGGTTGCTCGGTTTCCTGGGGCTGCTCCGATTGGTAGGGTTGCTGCGACTGAAGGGTTGGCTCCGACCGCTGGTCTGACACACTCGTTACCAGTGTATTAGGCATATCAGGCTGTTTTCTGTATGGACCCAAGTCTAGAGCCTCGTTATCAACTATTTCAGCCTCGATACGGTATTCCTCTTCCGGTTCTAGATTTATGGTGTTTACCTGCAATAAGATTAAATGAAAAGAAATAAAGTTTTAGGCTACCTCCTGCTTTTTCTACCTTTTTATTGCTAGGGAAATAAAAGCAACAGGGCAACGACATTAGTCAACGCCATCTTCCGCTAGCGAACAGGCGTTTATCTCTAAAACCACCTCATCTACTCGGCTTCTGAAGATCATTGTTAGAAAACTATCATGAAAAGGACAGGGCCAAGGGGAAACATTGATGTTTAGATGTGTTAGAACAAGAAGAAGGCTTTAATCTTCGGAGAGAGGTTCATAAATTGGCCTGCATGGTACAAAATACTACGTTTATCATACGTTTCCAAAAGAGAAGGGACGTAACTCTGATTATGCATGGTGTGGCAGATCTTAAAAAACCGGAAGTTCGTTAGACTGCATGATTTTATCAGGAGGGATATGCGGGCTCATCTTTACATTTACAGAATCCTAGCGATTGATTGATGTAGATCCTCAACCCCTAAACCCTTACAATAACCCATTTTTCTCACCTTTTCTTCATATTCTCTTCCACTGTTCCTGAAATTATAAAAGAACAATGATTATTTTAGTTCCATGGCTCTGATAGTGGAACCGTGAGTTAGTTTGCTTTCTCTAGATCTACCCTTTTCATACTCTATGAAACCCGGATAGTCTGGAAAATGGTGGTCATGAGTTCTAATTACGGTCGGCGAGTGAAAGTCGTAATTCTTGATAATATAACGTAGGGCCTAGATAAAATCCAGATTTTTAAGAAATACAGTCATCTGATTGGATAATAAAACTAATTTTAGAAAGGATTTAGACCAATCACATGACCCAAATCATCTAAAAAAAAATCCTGAAAATGACAATTGGATCAATTAAAATAATCTCAAAAAATGCAACCTCTGTTAACAATTTGAACCGTTCAAAAAAGATTCATGAAGCCACGCTCTATCTATTTTGAACTCTACTGAATTTGAAATAAGATGTCTATCTCATTGATTAAAGATTATTTTATAGAAAAGGTTTCTGCAGTAGCTACACTTTAACGGTATTACAGTCTATGAAAATAATAAATTCTATAAGAAAATGCCTGTGACTTATATATATTATGATCTATATCTCCATTGACATCTTAAAAAATTCAAAGTTTTCTTAAAAATCGTCAAGGCGCATCGGTAGTAAGCTCGGTGAAGATATAGGCGCCATTTTATGATTTAAAGGAAATGTAAACGACTATATATTATTTGCGTTGCCAATGTACCAAGCTGTAAATGGGTACGGATAATTCGGTAAAGACCAATGTCAAGAGGTATGGCAAAAGGATCAGCTGGTAAAGTAAATATTTAGATGACTATACAGATAGCTGAAATAGAGTTCTATCAGCTAGTAAAGTAAATATTTAGATGACTATACAGATAGCTGAAATAGAGTTCTATCAGCTGGTATAGTAAATATTTAGATGACTATACAGATAGCTGAAATTGAGTTCTATCAGCTGGTATAGTAAATATTTAGTTGACTATACAGATAGCTGAAATAGAGTTCTATCAACTGGTAAAGTAAATATTTAGATGACTATACAGATAGCTAAAATTGAGCTCTATCAGCTGGTAAAGTAAATATTTAGATGACTATACAGATAGCTGAAACTGAGCTCTATCATCTTTAAAACAAATATTTATATCCCTTTCAACTATCAAACCGGTTTTTAATATTTCGTACATGTGACTCTGTATTGTTATTGAAAGTTAAAGAGGTCGTACGATCCTAATGTAATATTTTAATAAGTACAGATATAAACGCCCTGAACTTCATGCCCTATAACTAAATAACTAACTGTGGATATTAAAAGGAATGAATCTATCTGTCTATCCTATCGTATCCTATCGTATTCTATCGTATTCTATCGTATTCTATCAATCTATCTATCTATCTCCTATCCTATCCTATCCTATCCTATCCTATCCTATCCTATCCTATCCTATCCTATCCTATCCTATCCTATCCTATCCTATCCTATCCTATCCTACTATCCTATCCTATCCTATCCCTGTTTGTATTATTACATTTCAAGGCATTTATAATTCAAATTTGCAAAAAACATGAAATACCAACAGATAAATTTAATGATCTGTAAGAGAGACGAGTACACAAGTCTAATATTAATCTTCCTTGAAAGCTATTAATGATAGGCTTCATAGTGTAGGCTTACCGGATCAAATTATCTCTTTCAAGGTGTACAATAATAATACATTCCTTGCATGCTCTATTAAAATTTTTCTAAGGACATGCTAACTCATTGTAGCTCATTATAATACTTTTCAAAAGCTGTAATAATAATACGGTAGTATATCTAGGCCGTAATTACGTGTAATCAATAACGTCCTAAGCATCCTGGTTCGTTAAGGAAATATTCAACGAATTATGGCCCAAAAGGAACACCGTACAAAAAAGATTGTATTTTCATGTAATTTGATCAAATTTAATTTTGTTTTTAGAAAATCTCTTCCTAGCTACAAGTTAATGATACACCACATGCATGACTTAGTAAAATTTTCTGCTAGCTTTTATGATATTTTCAAATATATAACAATTCTATGGTGGCTAGCTTAGGAAATATTCAACTAATTATGTCCTAAACGAACCACCGTACAATAGAGAATTTAGGCACTTTTTATGTAATTTGATCAAATTTAAGTTGAAGAGAAATATCTCTTCCTAGTTGAAATATAATGATACACTCCTTATTTATCTTGTCTTCTTGACAGTAGCTCATATTTCATAGGACAAATATAAAACATAGGACAAATATAAAACATAGGACAAATATAAAACATAGAACATCTTAAGATTAATCTTTCACACTTAGTAAGCAAGTAAATAATTTATCTACAAGCCTATTATTATAACAGGCTAATAAATTATACTGTACTCACTGATACAAAGAATAGGCTATGATTTAAAATGTACTTCCCGGTTGCAAGACTAATTTAAATAACTTGCTAGGGTTCAGTCTTATACGAGACTAACTCTTTTATACCTATCCCTACTAAAATAAAACATGATTTTTAAATTGTGCTTCCTGATTGAATATCTGATAATACCGTACCCATTAATACAAAAACATTCTGGATTTAAAATAGCGTTTCCCACTTGGTGTATATTTAATTTCGTCTCGGTTCCTTAGTTTTGAGTATTTGACCCGACAAGCCTATCATATTTGGCTAATCACGCCATGCTTTACCCATTAATACATAAAAAACGTTGGATTTAAAATAGTACTTCCGGGTTTACGCTACTAGTTGAAATAATTGCTTATGACGCAGCTTTAACGAGTAATTTCTGAAGTATTTTTCTAGGCATTCGTGATCTGACGTCATTGTTGTGTAATGCATGAATTCTAGGGCATATACATCATATATTGTAAAACTGTTTTTATTGGTAAGTAAAAATTCCGGCAGCTTTCGATTCATTTGATCCATGATTCGCGAAATTGAGTTTTAAAATTTGTGAGATAACGTAAGGCCAGTTCAGTAACCTACAGAAAAAAAAATATGAAACGAAATCATCTAGAACTGCAATTCAATCAGACTGATTAAAAGACCTCTTTTGAATTTAATGAAGCGAAATAACATTAACAAATAATATTTTTAAAAGGGAGCCAAGCAGGAGGTTTCGTGTGATTTGAGCGAATCGTTTTTTAAAAAGTTATTTTCAATCAGAATATAAACAACCCAAGTGGAACGAATACAAAAAAACCTCAAATTATGAAGCTACCTGTATCTGGTTGCAGGGTATGAGACCTATATACGCATGAACCAACTCATTATACAGACAAAATGTATTTCTTTGTATCCTTTTTTACTGTACAGCAATATAGAGAAGCTCTGTTATTTAATGTTGATAAAATTAAATTTGAAAGAAACTAAACAACTATAAAGATGCGAATGCAATCAGCTCCAAGATCAGAGATGTATAAAAACCACGTGCACTTTTATTTTAAAGAAATGGTCCAATACAAGGCAATTGTCGTGATGCAGTATAACTTAATAAATGAATTTTAGTATATTTGTGTATATTAGGTTCTAGTGATGATCCACCAGCCTCTAATTTCACTAGCACGAAAGATCTTGAGTTTGTATTTGATTTTGAATCCTAATTTTGATTTAGCCAGTCATCAACCTGATAAAATAGTTGAAGTGGTCACGCCTAGTATTAGTAAAACGGAGCAAAATATTGACGAATGGGGGCAACGTCCGTCCTACGTAACCCTCACCTTTTGAACATTCTAAAAATAATTATCAATTTTTCAAACAAAACGAAAGATCGGCAATAACAAACTCGACTTATTTCAGTGAATCTGAATAGTGGCAATAAAAAGAATTAAAAGATTTTGATATCTTCATTTATAAAGATAGGGTGGTGAAATTACAAACTAACTGGTGGGGTGAATCATCGGGCAGATATTTATACGATCTTTTGATAACTATAAAATAAAATGAAATCGAGATTTATGTCCAAATCTTCTGCTTCAGTTTGCAATGAGGGAAATTTTGCCAAGATGGCAGAATTATCTTCGTCTGTATCGATTTAGTATCGGTTTAGTTGTCCCACTGTGACCGTACATTTGTTAAAAAAATATTCGAAAACGATAAAAACGAATGATACATAGATCCTGCGCTTTGTTTATGTTATTTCTATTGCTGTTGTTTTGATGTTTACTCCACATGTACAATATATATATTTATATTTTATACTCATATCCTTATACAATCTTTTCAAATTAGTGTTTTTATATTTGTATGTTGTCCACAAGAGGCGTATATGCAATAAATCTTATCTTATTTTATCTTAGATCTAACTGTACTAGGCTATTTAAACAACTTAGTAAAGTTTCTAGTCGAGTATTCTAAGGTTCAGATATAGAGTGATGTTCTAAAATACTATCTGATAGTGAAAAAACATAGAAGTTGATTGACTATTCTAGAGGAAGCCTTCCACCCATAAAGGAAAAATAAATATCTACAGCATTGTATACTTAGCATAGGGGTATTACTAAACTATTTAAGGAAAGGTGAAAAGGTTTTTCTAGGCACAATGGCATCAAATTAGATGAACTAAGACAAGCCTTCTAAAAAATAAAGGAGAGAAGCAAAACCCAATATATAGACTTTGTAGATGTGCTAAAATTTGCTATAAATATGCTATAAATTGCTACAAAATTTGCTATAAAATTTTTATAGATTTGCCTTAAATTTGCTATAAATTTGCCTTAAATTTGCTATAAATTTGCTATAAATTTGCTATATATTGGAAACACTGTGCAGCAAAGTAACAAAGTATAGATATCAAAGAAGCAAAAAGAAAGAATTTACTATATGTCTACTGTACTCAATTGATTATTTCAAAATGGAGGAATAAAATGTAAAATGATTACGTTCCCAAAATAATTTCACATTGCCCTGTTGTAAAATTTTCAATACAAATGGCACAATTATGATTATTTTCATCCAAAGAATTTGGGAATGTGCAAGAAAAAGAGAAGTTGCCGTGTCTATTGATATAAACATATTGTATTTAAACAAGGTGATGTACACGGAAGCATAAAATGGCGTTTGAGAGACGGAAAAGGAGAAAACTATTCTAAATCTACATAAATGAAAAACACAAAATAAGACAAATTATTGTTATACTGAATTTGGGAACTTAAAAAATCAGTTTTACCAAAAATCTGCAACACTTATATTTCAAAAATATTTTTATTTTTCTTTCAAAATTGGATGGGTGGTTGAGACTAGGGATGGGGATAAGCTACTATATTGGACAGACAAACACAATATGTGATATAGTCTTACCTATCCCGACCATTATATACCCTGTAAACAAGGCAAAGATGGTAGAAAATTCAAGGTTAATATTTAAGAGAAACAAGTCTGAAACATCTGCCTTTATTCTAGCAGAAAATCCCCCTAAAACAGGAACACGTTTTTCTGTCCTTTCTCCAGCCGACAACTGTCAAAATAGCTATCAGAGGCTGGAATAGAGGAAGATGTTTCGGATTAGAGAGAAACTAAAAATCCACAGCCCTGAATGTCGATTAAGTTGGTTGAATTTTGATATGCTAGGAGGAGTGATAATATTTCAATTCCAACAAGCATGAAACGAGCACTTTAAGAATAGCATAAAGAAAAATATGGTAACCTTTAGACACTTAGTGGAAACTTAGATCTTGTTTTTAGAAGTGGGTGTAAGTTTTTGATTAAGTTAGGCTATATATATATATATATATATATTACGCATTATTTAAGAATCATGCACAGCTAATAATATTTTCGTTAGTTTATTATAAATTCGAAATTTAGATGAAAATGAAATAAACACTCACCATCCTTCTACCCACGATTCTGAAAAAAATAAAACAATACAATAATCAAATATAGAATATAGTTTATACATGAAACGAATAGAATTTATAATCAAATTAAAAAATAAAGCAACAAAAATAATTAACACAATTCAAACATGGAACGAAATGGAATGTATGTCATATTCGTTCTATTATACTTATTGAACGAATGGCATCATGGGTTGACGCTTCTGTGTTGTGTTTGTAATGGATTAGGCCTACTACATTTGTAACACCATGGAGTATACAAGAGTGGAAGATATTCGTCTAACTTCTTTGCATTGCAGCGTAGAATTTCAACTCCATCCAGTATGCAATGATGGGAATTTTGTAAAAAGAGTGATGAAATGTCATCCAATAGTCACCACTTCCTGTACCTATGCTTACAACAACTGGCTATCTACACGAGCTGTACGTTAAAATAAGAACCTACTTGAATCTGGTTCTGCTGTAGGCATTCTACCGTGACCATTAGCAACTAAAGATTTTTCTGAAAGAGTTTTCTCCGCCTGTTTTCGTTTTTTCCTCTGCTCGATGATGTGACGTGGCACCTTTATCTTTCCACGCCATCTTTGATATTTTGAAAACCATTTATCCCTGCAAAAATTTAAACTTATTTTATCAGATCCATGCATCCATGGTAACCTTTACAGTGAACAATCGCCATTGTATTCGGGGCACAAGAATTGTTACAAGATCTGTAAAATACGGTGGCTCACATAAGACATACTTGAATTTTCACCTAGGTGATAATTATGTCATATGTGAGCCACCGTAGTAAACAGTTAATTAATTAATTAATTAATTATATGATCATTTTAAGTGGTAGTATTCCTTTAGTAAAAGTCTGAAAGGAGTAACCTTTGAGTGTTTCAGTATCAAGACCACTGACTATTCGATTTGCGACGCTCTCGACAGACACATTACAATCATATTACTAAAATATACTCATGAGTACACTCACCAGAATATACCAACTACTATCATAGCTATGACAATACATAACAAAAAGAATCCTACAACAGACGCTGCTACAATACCATTAATATCACCAATCTCTTCACATAGTACTCCTGAAATAATACAGCATTAATACAGGTTATAAATGAATAAATAAATATCAGGGGATCTGTTTACAGTTTAAAATCAGTTTATTTAGGAAAAACCTAGTCGTTCTGATTAGACAATCAAACGAGTACCCGTGAGTTATAGAAGAGGAACCGAACAGATGACAACCAAAATCTCTGTTGAATGTAGTATTAATGCTCTGTTTGTTTATTCTACACTGCTTAATTCAGAATTGGGGGAGGGGATGGGGGGGGGGATGGGACTGGCAACCTTAATCTCTGTCCAGAGCTCTGTTTACTATATCCCTGTTCAATTCATCTCGAGAAGTTAGAGAAAACGAGGCTAACAGAGGGCAACTACCAATAATTTCCTGTTTGTTTATCCTACA